AGCAGGGAGGCCGGGCCCGGCCACCCCTCCGGCGGCCCGGCCCCGCTGCCTCACGCCGAGGCCCACGAGTTCTGGAAGCACCAGGAGAAGCTGCACTGCCTGAGCCTCCTCTACCTCTTCTCTGTCTGCCACATCCTGCTGCTGGTGCACCCCACCTGCTCCTTCGACATCACCTACGACCGCGTCTTCAGGGCGCTGGACGGGCTGCGGCAGAAGGTCCTGCCCTCCCTGAAGGCTGCTATCAAAGACTGCCCGGTCGGCAAGGAGTGGAAGCTCAACTGCAGGCCGTGCCCTCCACGCCTCCTCTTCCTCTTCCAGCTCAATGGGGCCCTGAAGGTGGATCCCCTCCCGGGCAGGGGCCAGGACCCCTGCGGTCACCTGGAAAAGCCACCCCCCAAGAAGCACTCCCCCAAGAGGAGGTTGCAGCATGCTTTGGAGGATCAGATCTATCGCATCTTCCGCAAGAGCAGGGTGCTAACCAACCAGAGCATCAACTGCCTGTTCACCGTGCCTGCTAACCAGGCCTTCGTGTACATCGTGGCTGGTGGGGCCCAGGACGGAGATGATCCAGTGGCCATGCTTCTTGACCAACTCAGGAGCAACTGCACCATGAGGGAGACCGACTCGCTGCTGGCTCCCACCCTGTCGGGACCCAGGAGGTATCAGATGATGCGGCATGGCAGGCAGCAGCTGTCCTTCCATGCAGAGAGCAGCAGCAGCAGCTCCAGCTCCTCTGGACAGCTTGTGGACTGCACCCTCAAGGAGTTCTTGTGGCAGCACGTGGAGCTGGTGCTCAGCAAGAAGGGCTTTGATGACAGCGTGGGGAGGAACCCGCAGCCCTCTCACTTCGAGCTCCCAACCTACCAGAAGTGGGTTGCTGCAGCTTTAAAACTGTATGAAGTGACCATTGAAGGCAAAGATGATGACCCGACCTCTCTCACTGGGGAACTGAGCTCAAAAATCATGGGCAGCATCAAAGTCTTGGAAGGCTATTTAGATATAGACACCAAGTTCTCCGAAAACCGTTGCCAGAAAGCTCTCCCCATGGCCCACAGCGCCTATCAGTCCAACCTGCCCCACAATTACACCATGACGGTCCATAAGAACCAGTTGGCGCAGGCCCTGCGTGTGTACAGTCAGCATGCCCGCGGCCCAGCCTTTCATAAGTACGCCATGCAGCTTAACGAGGACTGTTACAAGTTTTGGAGCAACGGGCATCAGCTTTGCGAAGAGCGAAGTTTAACTGACCAGCACTGCGTGCATAAGTTTCATCTGCTGCCAAAAGCGGGTAAAGCAGCTCACTTGTCATGGGGTTTTTTGTGGTTTAAATTTGTATCTGCTTTAAAATGTCTCATGTTAGGCTGAAAACACTGACTCTCGCATGTTTATGGAAGATGAATGCTTGGCAGCTGTAACGTTTTGTCTAAAGGGGGATTAATTATAGCAGAGCTGCTGTGCAGGTTTCCTTTATGTTGAGTAACGTTTAGGAGCGAGTGCACTGTTAGTAGTAACTTTGATTTTAGTAGTAACTTTGATTCCGTCTTGCTAATTAGAGACATTACACTGGAGTCCTCCTAACAAGAGATGTGTAAGAGAACAAAAGTTCTCTAGGAAGCGTAACTGCTCCCTCCCCCATTTTTTTTTTTTTTTTTTAAAATTTTTACAAAATTTCCGGAGGCGTAACTTCCCCCCCCCCCTTTTTTTTTTTTTTTTAAATAAACTTGATTGATGTCAGTCAAGGCATAGAAACTGTCTGAGAGACACTTATTGCAGACAGAAGAACTATTTATGCCTTTTAGGAAGAGGTTGTAAGAACAAAGAAGATTCAGTTTAGTGGTATAACCTACACTGGAACTTTGTATTAAAAATGAGAAAGGGAGGGAGTTGCTTGACAAACTGGCATCGCTGGCAAATAATTTTGCATATGTATATAGCAAGGAGGAAGCAGTGGATGGAGGGAGTTAAAGAATCTCTAGAAATGGTGAGCAATTTAGGGTTTGATTTTGCTTTCAGGGGAAAAGCCAGAAGCAGACAGAAATCCTCCAGTTCTGTACCACAACAGCCGGGCTCGTTCCACTGGTGCCTGTAACTGTGGAAGGAAACAAGCTCCTCGGGATGACCCCTTTGATATCAAAGCAGCTAACTATGACTTCTACCAGGTAACTATTAGGTCTCTATTTTTGCTTCAAGCAGCACTTTTGCTTCATCAACAAAGCCTGTATTCTGAAGTGACTACAAGTAAGTTTCCTTTTAGCCTTATCAACTTGTAAATGTTGCTTGGGGGAGATATTTCTGGGAGCAGAAGTTGTTTGCACGGTGGGCTGACCAGAGCGGGCAGTTCCAGTCTTCACCAGTGCATGCACGCAGGAGCATCTATTTACGCTTCAAGCGTGTTGGTTCATGTGAATTTTGAATCCATTATGTCTGTGGGCTGTATTCCCATCGCTGCTTTGGTTCTCACGTAGCACAAACCTCCTGAATCTTAATTGTAGCTGCTGAATGTTACGACTCTGAACTCCCTCGTCTCAGAGGTAGAAGGTGGAAAGTTAACCACATTCTCTTTCTCATAGCTGCTGGAAGAAAAATGCTGTGGGAAACTGGAGCACATCAACTTTCCCGTATTTCAGCCAAGCACACCTGATCCGGCACCTGCTCGGGATGAGTCGTCTCCTGCCCCTCTGGAAGGCGAGATTGAGAAACTTAAAGAAAAAGAACCTCAGACTCAGGGAGAAAGCACAGGCCTGAGCTTAGCCCTCAGCCTGGGTCAGTCGACGGGCAGCTTGGGCACTTACCCGCCTGACGCCCAGGGTGGAGGGGACAATGCAGAAAGTCACGGGCAGAGTGGGGACTCCAAAAGTGAGAAAAGGCCAAGCCTGGTAGATCGCCAGGCATCCACCGTCGAGTACCTCCCTGGGATGCTCCATTCTAATTGCCCCAAAGGCCTTTTGCCCAAATTCTCCAGTTGGTCACTGGTTAAGCTGGGGCCTGCTAAGGCTTATAACTTCCACACAGGTTTAGATCAACAAGGTTTTATCCCGGGAACAAACTATTTAATGCCTTGGGACATTGTTATCAGGACGAGAACTGAAGATGAAGGAGACTTAGATACCAATTCCTGGCCTGCACCTAACAAGGCTGTTCCTGGAAAAAGAAGCGCGGTTGTGATGGGCAGAGGAAGACGGAGAGATGACATAGCTCGAGCTTTTGTAGGATTTGAATACGAAGACGCACGTGGTAGGAGGTTCATGTGTTCAGGGCCTGATAAGGTCATGAAAGTGATGGGAGGGGGGCCAAAGGAGTCCGCCATCAAAGCCCTCAATTCCGACATGCCGCTGTACATCCTGTCGTCGACTCAGGGACGAGGACTCAAGCCACATTACGCTCAGTTCATGAGACTCTTTGTGGTGGTTCCTGATGCTCCACTGCAGATCACATTAACGCCTCAGGTAAGAAATGGAAGAGGGAACCTGGTAACTGCAGAGAAAGGGTTGGTTATTGCAGGACTGGAAGGCA